GGCCCGGGAAGTCTTTGAGTGCAAAATTGCCTATGGGTTCAAGCACCACGTCGTGAAAGCGCACTGTGTCTCGATATTCTTTTGATACTGAAGAGCAAGTTTTTCGTAGCCGCGCGGTCTGAGGCATCATGCTTCGGACCGGCGATACGGAATGGGCGCTGGTTCGAGTCTCGGGGGAGAAGAAATTTTCTCATGAGCTTTCGACCAGTGTATGCGACCGGTGCCAATCCAGCATCGTGAGGAAATTGGGGAGCTACAATGAGTAGCGTAATCCGGTCATGGAAACTAGCAATGGCTGGGGGTTCGTCGTGCTGACCACACGTCACCCTATATCTGGTTGGATGATCGTTCACCTCTGCTTAGGCATGTGAACGTGAGGCCAGCAGTCAAGCTAGTCGGCTTTGGCTCTTTGGAGCTGTTACGCCACGGATTTTATTTAATTTAATTTAATTGTCCACTCTGTACGTTAGACATTTTATATACAGTCGTCTGATCATACATTTACCGCACAAATATTTTATTCAGTCAGTGTACATTTCTTTTAATTTTTAATTAAAAAGCCACCACAAGCCATATTAAAATATTTATTGATGGTCGCAATCAGTAGAGTTGGATTATATTAATAAACACAAGTGGCGCTGTGACTAAACAAGAGCCCGCCCACGCAGGTTGCGTCAGTTGTCTTCAAACGGTCGAATTGCAAGAATGGCTTCTTCACAAGTGTAACGAATGTTCATTGTCGAATACTATCTAGAAACTCGCTCTTACTTGACTTGCCGGAATAAATTTAGGGATACATTTTCTGATTCTCCTTTGCCAAACAGGTAGTATTTCGTATTGTGAACAGTCTCCGTGACACAAGAAGATGGTCATCTGTACTCGCCGCCGTGAGAACCTGAGATCTCGCACATTTTGATGGCCACTTCCGATCCAGTATTTGATCTCTCAAATAGCCTCGAGTAGCTGGTATTTTGAGCTGAATGTAGTCACTTTTTGTCCTTTCTCGCCAGTAAGTGATAGAGGCTCTGCGTACAGGACACATCAACCATCCCCGCGTTAGTTCATCTGTGTGCGTTATTTATTAGTCAAAATCTGTTTGTCACAACTATTACGTAATGGTAACGAACGTATGGGATAATTGCCGCTTTCGTGTGGACAGCGTACCTACTTATGCGAGAGGTCACGCGTTCAAATCTCTGTATGAAAATCGGCTTCCATCTACATTTTTTAAAATCATTATTTATCCTGTACTTTTTATTTCTAGGCTATAGTCTGAGATTTTGAAAGTGTCTTTGAATTAACAATAAATAGGTAAATAAACTTATGGCGAAAGAGAAATGTTGAAATCTATGCCGAAGAAAGTAATCCGTAAATTGTTGATGTTTTCTACAGACGCTCCATGAGTAGGATTTGAGATTCTCTCGGCAGTGAGCTCGACGATGACTGTCTTCTGTGTTGTAGCGCCGTGTAGTCTTGTAGAAGTTCGAGTATATCAGCGTTTCAGAGATCTATCATCAGGGCTATGATGGAGGCAGGAAGGATATCTGAAACGTTAGTAAACTTCTAAAAAAAACTACGGCGCTACATTCCAGAAGACAGCCTCTCCTAACGCTCCATGTTAGGACACGATATTCCATTCTTACATACAGACCGCTCTTTGGTTTCTTCAAATCGCCGCCTTTTCATAAATTCTGTGAGAGAACTAACTGCTTTACTTAAAGAAATAGGTCTTAGGCCTTAATAAATGTTACACAAAAAGTAACTTTAACATTTACATTATGTATCCAAAACTATGAACGAATGTGTGGACCCATGATTACGAGGAAAAGTAAAAAAATAAATTTTAATTTCCATCAAACGTAATTAAAAGATGGCGGATATAAACAATGTGGACCTTCTGGAAAAAAGAAAACCTTAGTGAAATGTCATGTTTAATTTCTGTTTAGAATATACAAGACTGAGTTAGGTCTCAACCGCAAACGTTTATTCTGATGGAATCAGAAATCTTTTGAACAGTTTTTGCGACAGTAAATTTTAATTCTTTCCCATTTGTTACTCATATGTTCCTTCTCAGATCAATTACAGGCAGCACAGTGTTGTTAAAAGCAGATAGTTTTATTGAAGAATATGAGTTTCATTTTAATTTCGGTGTTTGATTTTCGTTTATGCATTGATATTTTTTTCCAGGCTGTTTTGTATTTGTTTTTACTCAACATGCCCTGCGACGGTGAAATTCTCCAACATAAGTTCTGTCATCGATTGGTATTTATCTATCTGCGAAGACGAGCATGTGAAGTCACTGGCCGTCTTACTTCTGTTTGTTTTGTGCAGATAAAATTGTGACACTGTGGATGTTTGATAACTTACTATCAGTTGCAATGCGCCAGTTATCTCCGGAGCTCGTGAGTGGCCCGATAAGGGGTTCCTGAAACACCGTGTGTTATCAAGTATTATGATATCGAAGGTCCTCACGCCAAGGACAACAATTTGTCATCAACAAAATTCCATTTCCTGCAAGGAACCCATTCATGTAAGACTTGTTTTCAAATTAAACTCGTTAAAAGGCTCAGTCTCATTGGAATGAACGTAATTAGCGCTGCTGCAAATGTTCGCAGTTATAATCACATTATGTCTTTTAATAAACGCTCGTGGAAAAAGATAAGTTTAAAATTAATTAGGTTCGGCTACTTACTAGGCTAGCCAAAGAAAGCCAGACCAATGCCACTTACGTATTCCTCCGCTTTTGCTACTCTGAAGCCGGTTCCCAGCCCTCGACGAAGGTTGGTTCTTCGTAATTTGACGATCATAAAATGAGAAATTGGTAAATGTACATGGAAGACTGGTTTGGAGCTGGGATTGTTTTCTTCGTCATCACATCGAAACAGACTCTGGCCCCGAGTCATTCTCAGTATGTCCCACGGGCGGCCGAAGAATGAAAATGACAGCTGGCCTCTGTCTAGTGTCGATACGTCTTCGTTGTGTGGAGGTTAAGAAACCCAGACAAGTGTTGAGTAAGTTCAGATATTTGGGAACGAAGGTGAACAAGTCAGAAGTTTATTCATGGGGAAATTAGGCACTTACTAAATCATGGGATGCTTGCTTTCTGCTATGCAGTTGTATGTGTGTGTATCAGTGTTTGCCTGTTATTGGCTTCTTGCTGTTGGCAAACACTTAAATAAATTAATTGAATTGAAATTTGTCTTCCCGTCTGCTGTCTAAAACAATCCAAAATATTCGGTATACAAAACTAATTTTACCTGTTTGTTTTTATGGGCGTGAAAAGTGTCTGTTCCGTTAAGGCGAGAACACAGATTGAGTGTGTTCGATTGGACTTGAGTGGAAGGAATGACAGGTCTAAATAAAATTGAACAATGAAGAACTCTCCATAATATGTACTCTTCGTTTTTGTTAAGATAGCCGAAGCAAGGAGGATGAGATTGACGGGGAATATAGCGCGCATGAGGGAGCTGAGATGTGTGCAAAATTTTGGTTGGAAAGCCTTAGGGGAAGAGACAACTCCGGGCACAGATTGGAGGATAATATTAAAATGAATCTTTGTTAAATGGGGTTGAGAGTGCGAATTGGATTTACGTGACTCAGGATAGGGACCGGTGGCAAGCTCTTGTGTACACGGTGAACTTTCGGGTTCCAAAAAGGCGGGGAATTATTGACTAGCTGAGCGTACTGTTAGCTCCTCAAAGACTCTGTTCCATGGAATCAGTTAGTTAGTCAGTCAGTTAGTTAGTTAGTGTGTGTATCCAGATTGCAATAATAGCTATTTGCGTCGAATTTTAAAGTGAACTTGAAGGACAAGTTGGAATCCATTGCATAATCCGTGTGTGTTCTTGTTTTTACTTTTTGTGGGCATGTTATTTGTTGTTGTTATTGAGGTTCGGAAATGAACAAAACTTGTAAACTTGATCTTATTCTCACGTCCGAATTTAATCGTCCTTCAGTTGGTAGGTTCACGGCCATCACAGTTTTTGTGCTTCAGTTACCTAATTCGGCTTCCCTGTCTCAACATTACAATGGATTTGTGTGGGCATTTCGCTTCAGGTAGTCTTCGAGGGTGTTGTCTTACCGGGCAAACCGGTCCATCCCACCAAAAAGTTAAGATGGCTGTCTTACAGGTTGTTGCGCTTTTTAGTGTGGTAGAATTTTACGGACGTTTCGTTGTTGCGCTTTTTAGTCTGGTAGAATTTTACGGACGTTTCAGAGGGGGTTATTGCCTCTATCATCAGGGCTCTTCTGGTTGAACCACTGGTTTTTCGGGGTGTCCAGAATTTAAGATTAAGTACCCACTGTTGTTTGTTTTCTTCTGCATCCTTCGCCTTACGTACGTGCTTTTTGTTCGTGGTAAAGTTTATTGCGTCATGCATAATAGCAGACTTCAAGAGTACAATAGGTTATTGTACTAAAGCAATAATGATTACGTTTTTGATTACGTGACCAGTAGAATCATGGATTGTCATACCTAGAGCGAACAGGTGGCTGAGGGAAATTCCTCCTGCAAGTCAGTGCACTTATCGGAGGTTTCGATTTTTGTCCCAGACAACTCGTTGAGACCCGTACCCACTGAAAAGGAGGCTGGGCGAACTTCACAACCGGTCAGGATGTTGTGACCAAGAGAAAAATATCCGACAGATTATTATTTAATTAAATTAAATTATTAGGCAAACTAATTGAATTATTAGTTTTATTAACAAAATTCTCTGCAGGGGACTGGCTGATGCATAGAAGCAACCAGGGCGATTTTTTTAAAAGGATTTCGCTTTTCATGGCAATCTGTATTGCAGCATTGAATTCTGGATTACTAGTATTGACCACAGTAGTCTACAGAACAACGGGAAAAATTGTTATTTCGTATTATTTTATAGTTTATTTTATTTTAGAGCGTAGATGAGAAGAAAATGAACCTGATTTTTCTTGCATTAATCTTATTTTATGCAACTTCTTTTTTATTTTGCCGGTGTAATTTGAACGGCAGTGTTTGACTACTCATTGGTTGCAGCTCATCTCATCTTCGACGATCCCGTAATGGTACGTAAATAGTGCTCCCCCCCTTCAGACAAAAAGAAGGCCACTTCTGGTCTGAGTGGAAGATAACGGAATCTTTCATTTGAAGTTCCTGTTGTCTTCACAGAAATTGGAACAAATCGAGACCATACCGCATTTGTATGCCGAGGAAGTGGGTATCGAAAATCATTCCACAGACGAGATGCGACGATTAATACACCGGATACAGCTTTTTGTAGGGGCTTTATTTGTTATGAGGTCAACGTGGTGTAGCTCACTGTTCCATGAGATTCACACTCGGTCTGTTACAAGCCTGAAGCCGGCTCTAGCACTAGGTTCTTCACTTCCTGCATTGGGGTTTCCGTTGTAATGGGGGAGATATACAAAAGGAGGGTTCCATTATTTATGTCATTATATCTCGCCCTCATGCACCCAATTCCAAACACTGGTTAGTGAGGCTGACGATTAACTAACTAACTAACTAACTAGATGGCTTACCGAACCCGAAGGTTCATCACCGAGTTAACCAAAGCCCTCCACCGGACCCTGTCCTGGGCCAACAAAATCCAGTTTCCTTCAACTCCTATCTCCCATAGATCCCGCCTTTCTTTCTGTTCCGCCACAGCGACATGCTACTGCACAATGCAGTATCGAAACTTTTTCTCTTATAGTGTCAATGTTTGCAAAGTTTAATTTTGACTATAATTTCCCTGTTGCTTGTGTGGGAGTGAAACGTTGTGTGTCAAACTAAGGAAAGAACAGATTAACGATGTTTCCATCCCTTAATTTATTCATAATAAAAATCTTTAAATAGTGAATACATTATTTCAAATTCCAATATGGCAGGAGGATTTTAACATAGTTGTTTGATAATGGTTATAAATAATTTTACTAAATTTGAAAAATAATGGTCGACGGTTGTCTAGCGGTTAGAACGCTGGCCTTGTAATCCTGGGGTTTCGGGTTCGATTCCCGGCGGTGCCCGGATTTATAACTTGTGTTGGGGAAGGCCGTGGTCTAGGCAACACGGAGTTTTCCTCCGTGGCATCCCAACAATTACTCCATTCACACACAGAAGAAAGTAATGGCAAACCACTTCTGGATCATCCGCCAAGAACGTATATGAACAGGTCCCAGTCCGAGAAAAAGATGGAAGGATCCTGTTCATATGAACCTGTCGTCAAACAGAACACTAAATAAATAAATAAATAAATAAATAGGGTCCAGTGATGGGTTCTTGCACTCATGGTACCGAGCCTTCTAGTTCCATAAAAGGGAAAACGTCTTTACATCTGAGTGTCTACTAGCTTATGAAGAATTACTTTGCTCCGAGGAGTTAGTCTCTGTGCTCCTGAGCAGATATATTTTAATGATTAACTGTGTGATTATAATTTATTTTATTTGGAGGTAAAATAAAGTTGTATTACGAACACTGGAAATGTACTTGGGCTAAATATATAGATGTCACAAAAAATTGTCATTAAGAATACTTATATTTTTTTATTTCTTATATTACACTAATAACTTGTTTGTGGAGATCACTAACAGGTTTGTAAGGAGGCGAATTTTATGGAATTTCAAATCAGCATCTATGTTAAAATCGTCATATGTTAGTGGAGGTTAATGAAATTTGCTCTTAGATAAATAATGACAAAAATTATTTCATAATACGTTATGGAATGAAAATAGGCAAAATAAATTGATTTGAGAGTGCCTGTGTTTCTGTTATAAAAAACTGATAAAACTGCATAGCGTACTGTACTTAACATATTTCATCAATATTATTCTTCCAGTTTAAGTGGTTATGTTTGTAAATCAAGGAATTTTGTATTAATGATTTCATTGTACTTTTTATCATAACCAATAATGCATGTTGTGGTTAATTATATGTTATAAATTTTACTATATTTGTTTTATTTAGTACCAGCTTGTTAGCAGTAAACCATTTACTCATATGAGAAAGAACTGCGTATGACATTGTACAAAAAACACCAACATTTTTACTATAAATTATGATGCTAGTGTTACACTGCTGCAGTTTGTGAATTTACCATGCACTTTAAATTAAGTTTGGACTTCTATTTTCTTTACTTTTCATAGATGACAGACTTGAACTTAAATATCATGCACATGTTTTGTGCCTGTTTCTGATTCTATAGGAACTGGATGCTCATTTCATAGGATATGAATATGGCCACTCATCTTATCTCATCACAGCTAGCGCATAGTGAATGCGGAGCATTTTCTTGACAAACCGTTGCAGATCAGACCCATGTTTGTTTGAACTTTTTGATTTAAAATGATCCCAAGAGCACGTAGTGAAGCTATGGACATTCTGTTGTGGGACACGTATACAGTCCCATGGTAACATTACAGCCCACATGCTGAAATACATCTTCGTGGCTTAGTGCTTGGTTATGTGAAGATAATAATGTTAATGTAATCTTTCAGAAACATGACATGTGGCAGGTTTTGTGTTTACTGCAATTATTATATAAGGTTCTGTGTTGTTACGTATAATTCCCTCTTTTTCAGGGTCTCCCAGATGATCACATAGTTTTAACAAGTCCTATAGAACCAAAAGTATCTCTGACACTGCCACAGCTTCGATTAGTGGATGGTCCATCCATACTAGCTGGAAGACTTCAGATTCTTCACAACAATCAGTGGCGATCAGTCTGTACAAATTCAAGGAAGTGAGCGTTACTTTCTCCTTTTACTCATGGTTTTTAATCTGTGGGCATGCCTTTACCTTGGAAGACATGACGATTCCATGGGAAGAGGGTAAGAAACATTTTACACCATCTATGATTTGCCTCAAAACTTGCACATTTGTTGTCAGTAGGTTTTCCCAAGCAGAGTTTAATGTATAAATTCAGCCTTTGGATGAGAGTTGCAGCTCTGACCTGAAGCTGATGTTACATATTGCAGAGATTTCCGTGGCCACAACCTCCTCCCCTCCCCAAAGGTTTAG